AAAAAAATGACTGAACTTAGACGACGATTAAGTTTCACAAAAAAGGCTCTGAGCACCCCTATGATAAATTGATGACAAAGCCGGTTCTAATGAGTTGGGGTGTAACCCACGACATGCACATACTTGGTGAACAATATCTTGCAGAAACCCGATATACCTTCTGATGGTATGTCTAGACAAGGCTACATCACATGTCACTGATGCACTTGCCGGTGTCAATTACGGTTTATGTCTCGGTGTCTGAGATTCGTTTATTTTTGGAATGGATGGAACAACATGTGGGATTTGTTCATGCAGTCGAGCCATTTGCCCATCTACAAATTCCATATTGGCAGCAGTAAAATCAGTTTTAATCTGTTCACTCGATGACCTTTTTGCGTCCGCACTTTTTCCTCTTCGCCTGGATAAAAAAAGAACTTCCGCAGACGAATAACTGGCAACCTGAAAGGAAAAACCCGATACCACATAAATTGCTGTCGTAATGTTTTTTGATTGAAAAACCTTGCCCTAATGAACAATCTGCCTCCCCAGAACATTCAACGTGGTAAATTTGAATCCTATTGACAATCAAGACGAAACACGATCATTATTGCCCGTAATTACATGGCACAAAGGACCAATTTTCCATCGTGCTGTTACGCTCAAAGACGTTTTATTGAAGCAATTATACAATGCGCCCATTATCTGATCGATGGACGTTTCAAAAAGCCACTTCACCAGAAATTAAAAGCTCGGCAAGGAGGCGCATTCCAAAAAAGGAAAAAATAATAAAAAGGGGCTTCTCTACCTGTACGTTACTTAGGCCGTATCTAATCATTACATCCTGTCCGGTCGCCGCCCACCTCACTTAGAGACTTTTAGAGGCCTTTTTTACACCCTAACTGGTATTCACGTGCACGTGAATCGCCTCCAGCTATTTTCGAAATGACCCATCGATGGAACCATGCAGAGATTAGGTAAGTGCAGGGGCGCACCCAGAATTGTTCCAATTCTCCAATAATGGGAGGCAACACGTAGGTTTATCCCCCCACGAAGACACCGAGGCGGAAACTTTCACCCAACCTCAATTGCTTAAAGCACGGGACTAAATTTTGCCAAATTTTCTAGGGCTTTTTGACACATTTTAGCAATTCATTCAGTACGATTCTGTGCAGCCACGGATTAATAATACGAAAGGAAAAAATGTAAAAAAAGGGCCCTTGTCTCGATTTTCGCCATAGAATGAAAGACTTGATGACCGAAAAGATTAGGTGGAATGATGGTTATAAATGGGGGTTTTAGATTATTTTAATCGCCCGGTTCTTGTGGACGAATAATATTTATTTCCTACCTGTTGAGGTGTCCAAAACTAATCACATAAAATACACGGCACCCAGATTGAATTTAGATAGGTTCGTGACTAATATATGGGTGTTTCCAAAAAAAATAAAAGGATTTAATGCCTTTGTGGGCTGTTTTATGGTTTTATCAGCCGTTTGATGTGCTAACACAAATTACCTGAAAATAATCGATTGTCTATTTTAGCGAGCCACTTTCGAGGTTCAGGTTTTGGGTAATATCTGGATTTTTTTGCTGAAAACCGAGTATTAGTGAAAAAATACTTGAAAGTGCCTTGGAAAGTTATGTTGACCAATTTTTAAGGGTTTTTACCGTACAATTTCAACACGCTCTTGATAGCGTTCTTTGTTCTTCTTTTATTACTTTTGGCCCGGCGTCTCTGCTATTGATGAGCTTTTGTTTAACATCGGCAGAATGATAAGATGGATTTCAATGAAACTCGCTCTGAATTTGTTCCGCAATTGTTGAGCAACTGAGGAATTTCTGAGTGTCTTACTGCAAAGACTACCAGAACCTTTTTGGTAGTTTTTCTACCAAGCGTTTGCAAACTCGTTAAAATTCAGGTTTCAGTCAAACGAAATTGTCACAACTTTTTTTCGTTGAATATTTTCGGAAAAGACTGAAAATTTCAACTCGCACCATGTTCTAGTTCAGAAGTTACGATGTTTTGGACCAGAGCGTGCATTTGCTAAAGAATGTCTTGTTTTTTACTTGTGTTTACAAAGTCGGAAAAATTCAGGTTTTAATGCAACTGAAACGAAAATTTCAAGACTTTTTGAGTCAACGATATTCTGTAAGTGCGGAAAGTCTCAACGTGTTCGACGAGTTACTTTAGAAGTTATGAAGTTTTGGGCAAGAGCGTGCATTTGGAAAAAACGTTAATTTTTTACTTGCGTTTGCAAACTCGGCAAAATTCAGATTTCAGTGCGACTGGAACGAAACTTTCTGAAGTCGTTGCGTCGAATATCGTCTATAAGTGTTGAAGGTTTCAACTCCCACCATGAGCTAGTTTAGAAGTTATGGATTTTTGGGCAGGAGGGCGCATTTGCGAAAAAACCTTATTTTTTACTTGCGTTTGTAAATTCGGAAAAACATCAAGTTTTATTGCAACTTAAACAGGACTTTCAGAAGTTTTTGGGTCACTTATATTCTGTAAGGCCTGAAAGTTTCAACTGGCATCCTGTGTCACTTTCGAAGTTACGAGTTTTTGGGCAAAAGAGTGCATTTGTAAACGAATATGGCCTGAAAATGTTCAAAGTTTCAACTAGCACCAAAAGCTTTGGTAGCTGGAATCAACAATTTTTTTTTGAGTTGATGCCTTAATTATCTTTTCACATTTTTGCCCTCTTTATAAAAGCTTGTAACATTTATAGTTTTTGTCCGAAAAATTATTTCTGTGCTCGTGTCCAATCAGTTGATTGCAGAGACCAAATAAAAAGTTCTGGTAGTTTTGGAGCAAGACACTAAAGCAAGACTCACTTGCTCAAAGCGGTTGAACTCGGTTGCTTCATCAAAACATGAGTTTTACATTAGAAACAAATTTAGAGCGAGTTTCACTAAAA